GGAGCGTGTCGCAACAGGTGGAGCGTGTCAAAGTCCTTGACCCCTAGCGCCTTAGTGACGCATTTCGATTTTGGCGAGTCACCTGCAGTTGCGTCCCGTACACTTCTAGCCACTTTAAGGGCTTATTAGGCTGGTCCGAGCCCGAACTTTGCCTTCAAAGCAATACCAATCAATTTGATTTTACAGGAATATTTTATATTCCAGCAATATAATATCCAATACTTTATATTATTATTTTATTATTATTTCATGCAGCGAGGTAAGAAGCTTATGCAAAAATTATTCTCCCATTTGTCTAGGTAATGCATCACAGGTGATGTGGCCGAGAGAAGCAATGACAGAAATAACACTGATGACCACCGACAAACGCTTCGTTTTGGAAATTTGTTTGAATTCATGCACGAATTCGGATTGTCACTAGAAAAAGGATGTTCTTCCACCACGTTATCGCTTAAACGAATTTTCGCCACATTACCACTAGTGGGGAAGTTTAAGCCCACCCTAGAATACAAACAATAAAACTAGCTACCGTAGCGACCCGGCAGTTGGTGAATTTTCCTTCGACTCGGCCTTGGTAATAATTTGAGAAGTTCGCCGCTCGTTGTATGCAGCCTCCTCGGTAGAGTCAAGATGGACTATACCGCCAATTAGGCTGCCAACCTGAAAGTTTGAGTGAATTCAAACATGAATCACACTGCCACTTTTTGCTTACATCTATCTGCACCAGATGTGCTCCTTGCTCGCATCCGGGTAAAGGAGTTACAGACATTGGAGGCCCAAGTTGAACAGCACCCATTTCATGCGTAAACGATGATGGTGGACTGTCTGTCTGTGCGTTACCTGATCTGGAGTGTGATAGGAGCTGATAACGGACGTCGAAATGTTGATGTCACCAATTTCGTTACACCGTTCGCGTTGACGGTGGAGAGTTTGCACTCATGTATGATATGTGGGGTGAGGCGGGGACCAAGTGAAAGAATGTGGTAGCAACTGATAAGAACTGATAAGGGGCGTCAAAGTGTGGATACCACCAGTTTCGTTGCGGCCCTTCGCGGTTACATTGGAACCTTGGCTCTCACATGTGGTATAGGGGATGGGACGGGAACACGGATAGTGGATGATCAAAAGTGATAACAAGCGATAACGGTTGATAAGGAAGTTAGGATTTTGAGTACCGCTAATTTCGTTGCAGCCTTCGTGGTGACAATAAATTTGAGCTCCTACACGTCGCCTGCCCTGCTGTCCAGTTTAACTGAGGCCCACCATTTGATGCGCGCGGTTGCGTGCGGAGCTAAACTGGTGTAAGACAATCGAAGATCGATGAGATGTCTAACGATTAAAACCCGTGCAGTCTGCTACTTTAAACAGCAACCTCCCAGGTTGAGCAGTCATTCTAGAATCCGCTCACTTCACGATTCATAAATTTGATGTCCTACAAAGTCCATACGCTGACATACTAGCAGTACTTTACATTATTAATTTGTCTTCATTTCACTACCGAATTATACGCTCAGTAGTTTTTAGCCCACCTATTGTTGGTGCTCCTTTGTCGCCAATAGCCGATGCTTGTCGTACAGCTCGGCATGCTCTTACACTTATTGCCACTGCACGCCCGACGGCTTTATTATCTGCACTGAGCATGGAGGTGAGAATTATTTCAATGGTTTGTGCAAAAAACTACAAATTAACCCTGTGACAACAGTCTTCTTCTTATGTGGTAATTCTTTGACTTTTTAGGTAGCTCGTTATAATTCAGCAGCTCAGCACCAAACCATTCAACACACGGTGGTCAGCCCGTTGTTGAAATCTCGCACAGAAGTAAGCACTTTGGTAATCTTTCGTCAGTATTTCGGTTCTTCTATTTTATTGCGTCCATTCTATGAAATTTAAAGGTGCTGCGAATAATCGAAGAGTTGTCTGAAAAGCGCTATGCCGAAGTCGTGGAAATGATGCTGCCTGTCGGCGATGTCCTGGTTCACTGTCTTGACACTTCACTGTTGAAGCAGAAGACGCTGTCAGAGATCTTTCCGCCAATAACTAAGTTGGTTGCCACTAGGAAATGATGCGATGCCTTGTGCTATTTCTGGAATGGAGTCATATGCGCATAGTTCAGGTTCTACATGGTCGCTTACTGTTCGTCAACTCGACGAATAGCATTTGGTGGTAAGAACGGCACATGTGTTGTCCATGAACTCCGAGCTGCGAAGGCACATGTAAGGCATTTATGAATCACTTTGCAGAGAGAACGGTTCACCAAGAGGGAAAGCAGCCGCAACTTTTGTGCACGGATATGTGCACATCGCTTCATTCTGGCGTTATGTGTATTGTGTTTCTTAGGCCGTAAAAGTCATTTTTGCTGTAGGATGGGATGAAGTAGCAGGTGTTTGTGGAATTATCTTTAAGTTTCAGAATCTACAAGCACATCAAGGTCCTGTATCAGCTGTCGCATTCTCGGAGGACGGCAAATATCTTGCCACCTACGGGGATCAGGACGCAAAAATCAATTTTTGGCAAACTAGCCAAACATTTTTGGTGAATACACAGCTTTTCTAGTTTCATTAACCAATAATTGATGCAATTTTAAATATGCCATTTCTTAGGGAATGGGCCAGAATCAGATGAAGTTGGTAAAAAGTCAACCAGCTCCCTCACTGGCTGCCTTCAGTCCAAATGGTACTATAAGCACTTTTCGACCGAAGCTGGTATGGATAAACCCGAAATCGTTGACGCTCATGATGCCTGAGGGACGTGAGCAACGTTTCACCATCTAGATGCTACTTCTTATACTGATTTCATAGTTCTAACTGATGAATTGTATATTCTTTTTCATTGTATATGATTTGTTTTGTTTCCAAGTTGACCAGCTTCAGACCTAGGTTGGACAGTTGTGAGCTATCAACCAAAGGATAACGGGTTAGACAAAAGTCATGACCATCAACTTTTTAAAGTTTGTTTTTTGCGTACCCTTAGCGCGGTGACGACGATTTATTCCAATGATGAGCAATGTTTTTTTGCTTCTAGTTCAACAGTTGCCGGGAATATTGTAATTTCTGACTTCCAATTAAACACTCACGTGTTACAGTGAAAATATTAACTTCTGGGGCTCATCATTGGGGAACATAAATTAACCCTCGCGCCGATCTGTCGCCACCGTGCTAATATTAGGGTAATTGGCGAAGGCAGCCAGATTCTGTGGACAAGAACAGGGCTGTCGCCTTCCAGTGATGCCGCAGTGCATAATGGTTTACATATGAACGCTCACAAGCACACGCGGATATAACGCAAGCACACTCCTCATTCTAATATGTATCGCTGGTTTGGTTACGTATGGCGATCTGTTTCAGGGGCGCTTTGTGAGTGGGAAGCAGTGGAGAGATGCATGGGAGGGGGATTGTAAATAGTTGTGGGGAAGCTGTGCACCACCATTCATTGAAAGTCTACATATAGAGCATAATATGACCATTATTCGCAAGTTTTAGCGTTTCATCTCAGTGACCTATACCATGCATGACAAATGGGGGCGCTGACTGAGTCTGTTATTTACGTATGTTCAATTTTTTTAGTTAAATCGATAATTGTGTGGTGCTCGATTCTTCTCCCTTTTGGGAGATAAATCATTCATCCTTGCCTCCAAAATCCAGTTCTCTTTTTTGTGGTGGGTAATCAATTACCAGCTTTACTTCACTTGCTTGGGGTTTTATGAGCGTTGTTTCATAGTTGAAGTCTCACATTTCTACGATAATCGGAATGGTCTAGGAACTTCACCATAACTATTTTAATGGATGGTAGGATTAGGCGGAATGTGCATGTCAATTTTTGTGCGGCTTCGATCGCGCACTGAAAGGGACCATCGAATCGGTCAAATTGCTGCGCGTAGTAGCTAGTGTGTTTGATTTCGCTCTAGTCGATGCCCATGTACAGTCCGATTCATCGCAGAATTCTGTGTAGAAAAGTAACTATCAGGTAGTAACTTTGATTTTTCTATGTCGATACGAAGTGGTGTTTCACTCTAGTCGAGTCAAATTTTGCGCTCATCTTATGTTTCGGAACCGCTCGTTCTCATTCTCGCCCGTATATATTGTACGTACCCTGTTTGATGTTCTCTATGATTTCTCTGTAGTGTAAGTAATAATAGTACGAGTTGAGATCATTCCAAAGCACTGCCCAGTGTTGTGAGTTCCGTGATACATGCCCTCATTCTCCTCTTGGCCGTTCATTTCCATTTATTTATTGTAGCGTATTCGCATGGTCACTTTCTCCAGTCCCTGAGCGCTGCTTCTAAAAGGGTAATTTGTCGCCAAATTACTTTACTTGCAAATGTTTGCATTTTGTTCTCATAAATAAAGGCTGATTAGTTCAATTGTTATTTATGGAAAACTCCATCAATAGTTAGCATTCTCGAACGCTCTACTTTGAAATGCCAAAACAACAGCTCTTAAAGGAAGTGGTCACGATAATTCTCATAGGGACGATAAGGAAAGCTGTGTATTGGAGTGGATAGGGGTCCTGCCCAATGTTAGAACACGTGAAGTTTCAGTGGCAGTGGCGCCTTATCAACGGAGTGATAAGGCGCCGAAATCCACTTCCGTTCAGCAAAAACCAAGACTTATCGATGTGGAAAGGGGTGCGATAAGAGCGTGCTAGATATGATACCGTTATCGTTATCGTCCCGTTTTCATTCTGGAGTGCACCTCTTATCAAGCAGCCGCACCTTCTTATCTCATCGTATCATATCTTCCATGGGCTTACACTCGTCAACAATTACTGCCTCACACCTTATCGATTGATAACGCGAGGGTAGCAAATCCAGCGTGGAAGCCAGCGTGATCGCTTCCTTTAAGGCGATGTGCGATCACATATCGATTGGGGCAAACTGTATTGCTATGGCGTATTGCTTTTTGATAATTTTCTGTGGCGAGTTCAGCCTGTGGATTTACGGAGTTTCAAATCCGAGAATATCATTGAAATGATCAGGAAGAGTGACATTCAATCAGCGCCCATTTTTGACGTAGGCAATCACCCGCAAAATTTGACGCTGTGCTTCAGAAGGAATGCATTCAAAGTTGCGTCATGAGCAAGGAAGAAAAAGTGCAGAGTGAGTCGATCACTTCGGCTGATCGGATAGAGCTATTCACCAAGGTCACACACGTATGACTCAAAAGTACATGACAAGGGCGCCACAGCGCTGATAAGAGCTCGAGTGTGGCCACTTCTGTCCCTCGTTAAGCAGCTGAGTGTGCCTGCGCTCTCTCAGCCGATACACTCTGCGTATCTCTATCCTCTCCACACAGTGCCTCCTAGTCGTAGCACAGTAGGCTCACGAAAGAAAGGAGACTCTACCGTTGACTGCTTGATTTTCGATGGTTTCTTTTAATTTTCCACTGTCTCCACTTCCCACCTCTGATTGTGAGAACATTTTCGATCCCAATAAGTACACCTGACTGATCGCGTACTCTAGCTCGAATACCTCTGTTTCTGATGATGGCGGTGACTATGTTCCCCACAGATCGCGAATGCATCAGAATGAGCCAGCGGTCACGACGAAATCGTCGTGCCAAGTGCTGCGGGTGGCAAGCGCTCCTGACAGTTCTGACTCTCTCCCTGCTGGGCTGTACGCCGTCGACGTCAGCGATTCACCAATGAGGTTGAGCAGCTTAACGGGAGGACCGTGACGAGTCCGCAAGTGCTGCGACAACCGGTTACCGGTTCGAATTAACCTCACTGGGGGCGTGCTATCGCGGGGTGACAGTCACTATGCGCTGTTTTATACTACTAGTCACCATTATTGATTGGGCTGGATGTCAAGCTTCGCAACCTCAGGTGAATTCTGCTTGAGTGCTATTTCTTAGGTGGTGGGAGCTGTGTTGAATCCTCTGCTCTCACTTCGATGGCTCCACCGTAAATCATGAAAATTCTTTTTTGGCGGATTCAGTGTAATTTATTAGGGTATGAGATCTACTCAGGGGTTCTTGTTGTGGGTTTCTCGTTTTTTTTTGCACATCACTCTATCAGTGCACGGTCACTAAAGCAAACGAATGAAGGCGGACTAGTTTTCCTGCACAGCCCAGCCTTCGTCCAGCTTTTGAGTTGACGGTTATCGCTTAATTATGAGCATCTGAGCTGAAGGGCTCCAAAAATTTCTGCGCGGTAGACATTCGGCTGCCAGGCCAACCCGAACGAGTATTCCAATGATGCCCGGAAAGATGGCAAACTGGCACTAAACTGGCGCCCTCCTCGACAGAAGATTGATCTCATCTGATGCAGCTGTTGGAACCGATTACCTATGAGTGTTACCAAAGCCAATTCAAGCGACTGGATCCTGAGAAGAGAAGGTGGGCACCCAGTGCAGTTTCTCAACGGATGGCTACAGTATGAATCTGGCCGTTCTTAAAAGGGTAAGTGTTTCTGCGCCTCCAAAAAAACATTTAGAATTGAGAGCAAGAAGTTATATCTTTTCATCTCTAAGCTCGAGAAGAAAAAATGTTTATCGGCTCATTATAATCAGTTTTTATATCCGTCAATATAAAATTAGCAAGTGGTCACTGTACGAGGTCACTTTCGAGGAGTGACATGGTGTTAAGCGATCACTGGAGACACAATGACCTCGGCAGCCTTCTTCGCAGCAATTTTCCAGGGTTCGAGTGCTGGTGTTGCCATTTTCAGACCTGATCAGAGCTCTCTGCACTGAAAACGAACGGGCTAGTTATGGAAAATCCCTGTCCACACAGCGACAATTTTAGAGCTGCTAAAGTCGAGTCATCGCGCCGTCCTCATTCCCGCTCTGAACTATAATAAATGTTCACATAAAGATCATTAGCCCTGCAGCTGGGCCATTTCATCTCAGGAAGGCGAACTTGCAGGAGGAGGAATTCGACGTATCCGCTTAAAGGCACAACCCAGGCAGGCAGAAGTCGGTGAACGATTCCCTTTGTCTGTAGGATAGACCCTAGAGGACAATCACAGATGTGGCATTCCCGTGCACGGAAATCAACCGACAAGAGCGCTAGGGCCTTGCAAAGTAAGCTGCTGCAGCTGCAATTTTTTTTCAGGCTGTTGTCTGGCGCCCTCTCATCTGTAGCGCTCTCTCGCCTCATACTCTCCTCTCCGCGCTTAGTCTCTCATTCCCTTAGCACAGCGAGCCGGAAGGTGAGTGAGCCCTTAACCTAAGCGTTTTCGACGGATTCTTTTCCTTTTTTTCTTCACTGCCGGCCCACTTCGCACCAATACATTCGCATTCGTGTGCAAGAGCCACACAACGTGATCCTGGGCATGCCTTTGATGTTCTATACTTCGGTTATCTTTTATTGTCGAGGGCACAGTCTTTCTTCCAGCGCTGTCATGCTTTTGTGGTGTTCAAGCTCTTTTCGTTTTTCGATTTCCTCCAAACAACTCAACATGACAATCACTGGTTTATTTGCTGAGAAATCGAGGCCTTCTCGAACTCTGAGGTGGTGTTGCGTCTCGTGTTTCAATGTTTGTTCACCGCTCAGTGCGATCGATAGAGATCACTCATAACGGAACCAGCCTGTGCCGAGTTCTCCTTGAGTTTGGATCAAAATATGCTCGTCGGAAAAAAAAGCAAAAAAAACCTGGCCAGCCAATCGGCACCTCATTCAGCGACAATTGTTGGGAACTCTTTTAAGATCATGCACGAACCTTTCAGAAATGCGGCCGTCCTGCAAGCTTGCTGGTTTGGAGTGTTATATCTAATAAAAGATGCATAAATTGATCCCAGTCGTTTTTATCTCAAAACGCCAGTCATGCCGCGCTGAGCCTGGACAGACGATGACACATCCAGTGTGCCGCAACGCTAAGGGTGCGGTCATACTTCGCAACGTCTGCGTTCGAGTGTAGACTAGATATATCGGGAAAATCTTGCGATCGCTTGATACGGATCTAGTCCACACTCGGTCTGCAAACGAAATGCTACGCGCTGGCAAGGTATGACCGTACCCTGGTTCAATAAACGAAACGTCAAAATCCTGGTGACAAAGGTGGTAACTTCGCATCGAATACAGAATATTACTTCTGCCTCGCACGGTACAATTCCGGAACATAAAATATTCGGTCAGCTTCTTTTTGTAAACACACTGCCCTGCCCAACCATGTGATACTTTCCGCAAAGGGTCTGAATCCATTAATCCACAGAAAATCAATTTTGGTAAACTTTTACTCGTCCACCATGATTCAACTTCCGGTTCACTTTCCCTTCTCTGCAGTGTCAATGCGTCACACCACCACGAGGAACGTCGCAGCCATGTCTACCGTACGACTCGCGATTTCAAGCTGCCACGCTCGAAGAGGCGATGATTTCGTTCCCGGATCTCTCGATCGATCAGGAAGAGCCAGGACAGATCGTAACCTTACAGGTAGCTGCTCCCTTCGAGCAGAACGGACATCTTGTGCTTTCTCTGCTCAATCATGTGTTTGCCAGTTTAGGAACAGGAAAGCTGTCAAACGAGAGAATGTCTTGACTGCCAGAATGAGATGAAGAAGAAGCTCAAAAAGGTCAGTCGACGCGCTTCAAATTACTGGAGGAGTACTCACCACATTATTCTATCAAGTAGGATAGGTAACATTTGAAAGGTCTCGAAATTCTCTCGAGCCTTAGAGGACGACAAATTTGTCTAACTTTGGGCACAATAAGAATTTTGTCTAAAGAAGAGGAACAACACTTAAATACGAGGAGTAATCACGCACTGGTGTACTGTCCACAAATGGTCGGTGGGAGCAGTATATGTATCTCCATAACAGTGCACTTTTTCACTGCGAGGACGAAGCTACGACGGGGTTACCCAAGCCTCCGACCTCCCACTAAAGCAACAGTCCCAGCAGGGTTTTACCTTCGACACTAATGGTGTGGAACGATGCGCTAGCCCTAGTCAAGAACATAAGAAGTGTGACTGAACAAAAAACTCACCTTGGAAAGCCGCTAGAAAGGGAGCTGAACGGCTTCGAAGTGGGCGTGGTTGGAAGTCGGCCGAGAGGACTGCAGCCGACTGAGCAACCTCAACCTAGAAAACACCCTGTAAAGCCGCTGGAAAGGGAGCTGAACGGCTTCGAAGTGGGCGTGGTTGCTCAGTGCTGCAAGTCCCCTCGGCCGACTTCCAACCACGCCCACTTCGAAGCCGTTCAGCTCCCTTTCTAGCGGCTTTCCAAGGTGAGTTTTTTGTTCAGTCACACTTCTTATGTTCTTGACTAGGGCTAGCGCATCGTTCCACACCATTAGTGTCGAAGGAAAAACCCTGCTGGGACTGTTGCTTTAATGACTTAATAGTTAGCGGAGCACCCAGCATAACCACTATCCTGAAGTCATAGTTTATAGAAAATGTCTGTGTACTGTCGAAAATCTTGCAAGATGAATGAAGACGTAGTGGTTAGCAAAAAAAATTAAGGTCGGTTTGATGCCTACAACTGCTGACGAAATTCTCGACGTGCAAAACACGACCACTTGCAAGAAGTACCGTTTCTCCAGAAATGACGAGGGAGTTTATGAAAAGCATCGCGGTTAGCTCATTCTTTCAACACCTCTTCTTCCGTTTCCATATCAGCGAGTATTTAAGGGCGAGATTCTGACAGCAGTTCAGAGGAGGACGACAGGAAACACAAGTGGAAGCGGAAGGGAAGAAAGCATGGCGGAGGTTGGAGGCACTTCAACCGGGACTTCAACCGGCGTAAGCGGCAAGTACAACCTGCAAACACCTCTGGACAGGCAATCATTGGTAAGCTAGAAGAAAGACAGCGGCCCAAACGACCATCAAGAAATTTTTCAGCCTTTCATTCAATAAGAAAATGCCTTTACACCGACCAAGATTCAGGCCTGCTTACGAGCACCGCTGCGTCTTACGATGTCATGACTTCAGGCGAACGCTTCGTGTTGTCTTGCACCATGAAAGGAATGACAACCGACAGCAGTGGCACCGTCTCGCTGTGCTCCTCTTGTTGGATGTGGAGACGTTTGCCGGACAACTACGCTCCTCAGTACATCAACGAACTCGTCTGCGACACCACCGACAAGAGCTGTCTCAGCGGTAAGTGTGATGTCGCATCCACACAGGTGCTACCTCTGATCAAACTGGTCGAGGGTCTCCACTACCTGAACAATTTGAGCGTGCACGTTAGCGTGCATCATATGGGTTTCAACGGTGTAACCAAAGGAACTTCTGATCCTCGCCCAGCACCGGAAGCCCCGCTCAGCCCATGGAGTTTTCTCATGTCGTTCGAGGATCTTGGCCGCCACTCATTTTCCGAGTTTTGGCGAACTCAGAAATCCGGACCACGAACTTTGGCTAGCACATCCATTTAGAGACACACCCCTCCGATGAATGTTTAGCCACAGTTTCACCGTTTCGCTATTAGCAGTCGCTTCCAATTTTTTCCAGCCTTCAGGCAATCCTAGGGCCAAATCGCCACTCTTGCAACATAATTTGTAATATGTAAGAAAGCACGCCTTGCTCATCGCTTGAGTTGCTTTGTACATTTTAGGCATGTTCAACTCACTACGAAAATTGCTCGATCAGCCAGTTTTCTCTGCCTGTGGTTGCCTTACTTTAGAACGTAGCTATGATTTTTTGTGGGAGGACCCCATTTTGTGTGAATCTCGCCCATGAGCTTTGCTTCATTTTTGTTCCGCTGAAGCGAAATTCGAGCTTTTGACTTGACCGCCATTTATTTCCCACGTGCCCTACCTGCCAAGGAGCTCAGCATGTGTGATTTGTACCTCTTGCCCTGCTAGCCTGAGGCTAACCTGACCCGACACCACCGGGGACAGACGGGTTTCGTGGCATACACATTTAGATAGAAGACGAGGTGCTTTGTGAATACGAAAGATTATTTTGTCTATACAAATACTTTTTTCCACATTCAAATATATCGAGAACCGTCGACTTACTGTTGGTTTTGCTAAAGAGGACGATTACAGAATCTCGAGTGAATGGAGAGAAGCTTTTTCACAATCTCTTTAAAAGCGAGCTTTGGGATAAAACAGGCGTGGAAGAGCGTAAGGACCTCCTCTATCTCAGCCGCATTCTTGGGGTGGGGGGGGGGGGAGAGGGGGCGTATGGACGAGTTTTAAGAAGTGGTAGCTCTAGTTGCTTCAGCGCCAGTGACAATCTACCGCTGCCGCAACTGCTCCGTGCTTCTCAAGCAGCATCACGTGGCAACCGACAGCGGAAGGCGGGGCTTGCGGACGAAGGTGTGGATTGCGGGTCGAGCGAGCTTCTAAAGTCTCTCTCGCGCACTTCCAACTGCAAAAAGGGCGCGACATGCGATTCTCTCCGAATAAAAAATCATCAATGGACCGTATTGAGAACGAAGAACGAAAGAAGAAAGTGCAAAATATTCTTCTAGAAAACTGTTCCTCCGCGCATTGGGATTCACTTACCATAGTATTCCTCGTAGCATTACAAGTAGTAGAATGCTCCTCCAAAATAAAAATGATCTAATGGTCTTTCAAGACTTCATGGTATGGTGGACTTGAAATCTAACGATTTCTTCAAATTTAATACTTCTTCAACAAGAGGACAACCACGAAATTCTTCTTCCTTGGCAAAACTCCTCTTTGAGGTGCATTTTTTTCACTTTTCGGGCTGGATCTGAGTATTCCAAAATGACCAAAAAGTAAATGTGCCCGGATCTCTAGCGGGTTTTAAGAGATTGCTGAGGCTTCATCCACGTTCTGTATAGCAAAACATGCCTTTGTGTTTTGTTCTTTCTTTTTGTCGTGAACATTTTATTTATTTTGTTCTATATTACATGAAATTCATAAAATAAAGATTGAAAGATTGCTTGTCCACCTGTCCACCGTTCGGGTATAGAACAGGTAAGCACGCATAATCCCGATGTGCCTTCAACCGTTGTTCCCTCCACTGTTATTCGAGTACCGGAGAACAATAAAATTAATGGCTTTATATATGATCAACCCAGCGGCAAGAGCTTATGATTCAGCACGACATTCACAAAATCACTCCTTCCCGTCCGCCGTGTTTCAGTGCCCGATTGGATATCGACAGCGTTTGATATAGGTCTAGACACCCTGACCGTGCGCGTGGTAAGCAGCGCCACCTGCCCTACCGCCACTTCTACCCAAACAACACACTGAGCGACTTCCGTTTACCAACCAAGTTTCTTTCAAGGGTGAAAGGCCATGGACACAACAAGCTAAATTTGCTGGACATTGGTAATAGATCGCGGTGTTTTCTCCCAAATTTACAAACAGAATGTACAGTACAAGAAGACGGTAATGGATGTAGCAAAATTTTATAATACTCTTACAGGTTACGCCACCTGCGGAGTTGGCCATCGAGCCGTAGAAGTTGTTCGAAATGACAGCGGTGTGATGACCACAGTTGCGCTGAGTGCCGGATCTTACTGTGAATGTCGAGCAGCGGTTAGTTTTCACCTCCTCCCATTCTTGAGATGACTAGGTACTTTGCCGTTGGAAACGGGAATTAATGTAGTGACGAGCCATCAACACTGGATCGCGGCCACACTCTGCGAAAATGCGCGTTTCGCGAGAAACTCGTGCTACTCATCACGTAACGTACACGAGACTCGCGGTTAAAACTCGCCGACACCAGTGCTCTCGATTCGTCGTTTTCTTGCCTTTCCATGTTCTTTTTTGAGTAATCAGAGAAAAAACAATCGAGAGGAAGGATCTAATCTCGAGAGTAGAGACTCGTTTCGCCCGTTGAATTCCGAAGTGAACGGGCTTACACCGCTGAAATAAAGTCGCTTGGGTGGAGCTGAACACTGGCATCTTGCCAACGGTGATCGATAGGCAGCTGAGGTTTTGACAGCCGGTGCAACAATGCACTGAAACGATGGGGATGACGATAGCAGTTTCATACCAAATAAATTCGTTAAAGCAGTCAAACTGTTTCTGCCTTTTGTGAACTACTTTGCCCAAGCTTCCAAGATGATTACAACGGAAAACGGAAGACCGTGATAATACTCTCAAATTACAGAAGAACTCCGCGATCGAGCCTCTCGTGACTGGCACCGGTCTGAGCAGCTCGTTGCCAGCCCTCAATCCACCGGCTGGCCCCACATCAGGGAGTAAATGATGTCGTGCGCGACTTATTGAAATCCATCATCTTCTTCACACCACATGTACTGTTTATATCGTGATCGATAGTTACGAATATTCTCATGGAAAGCGGTTTCTTGCCCTGTGCTGTTATCGTTCCTTCAATAAAACACTGTTCCTGGGAATTTTGCAAACACAATTATTTCAATAGGAGCGAGCGGGTGGCATCCAGTATTGCCTGGGAGTGTAGCACAGCACTTAGCGGTTGTTCATAACAAATTATCAAAGTGTTCAAACATTAGGATAGCAACCAATCAGTCGTTTTTCAATTTTTCCACCGCTCTGCTGCGTCCAGCGGTCCGCGCTCTAAACTAAACCCTTCCGAACAAAAAATTAATGTCTTCTTCAATAATTGGATCATGATTTCCAGATATATTCAAATTGGACTCAAAAAGAAAAAACAAATAACGAGACAAACAATGATGTATAATAGAAGTTTAACAACATGAGGTTATCTCTAGGTATCTTAAATATAAATCGTGCGACTTTCAAATATGAACACCGTGATTTCCGAAACGTCAGAGCCGTTCTATGGCTTTCCCAGCAGAACAACATACCTAAGCAACAGTACAGGCATTGCTATTGAGGTAATTTGAGTATTTACTGGGCAGCAAGCAACAGAACTATATGAGTTAAGAAATATCAAAACACAACTGCAATCCAATTTCTGTCCCATCGTGTCAGAGTATGCGCCGCTTCGAGCACTACCTGCACATCATGTAACTTCTGCACCACTTCCGACCAACAATTTTTGAACAACGAAATGGCGCGAAATCACAAAGGATTGGATGATGATACTGAGAATTCCTCATAACCTTTTTTGGTCCTCATCAGGAAAAACCGCTGGCTTTTTTCGTGCTTTCAACAGATCAATCTCCTCTTCTGGCCCAGAACTGCGTAACGGCCCTTGAGGATCGAGTTCCATTGTCTCGCCATCCAAATTATCCAAATCATCCAACAAATCGGCAACTTCGTCTTGCTCACGCTTCAATGAAACAATACTTGTTAACACAGCATGGAATCCAATTTTGATTAGAGATGGTTTCAGTGAAATGTTTGGGAATGTCAGCATTGGTATTCAAGAAAAACCTTGTCGCGACTATAAGTCCTTCTGCATTCATTGGTAAACTCCAAATAATATAAATTGAAACAGAGCAAAAAATACCTTTCTATTGCTAACAGCTGCAACTTCGGAAGACGCAGGAGCAGTCGTCTCCATGCACACGTTGTCTACTCCATCTGCTATCAACGCCACCTGGCTAGCAATAGCCTTTTCCTCACGAGATTCATCGAATTGAGACACATTGTTGCCAGCCAATGGATTTTGCTATAAAACAGTACGCTCAAACGACTTCCTCATAACCTATTACAGTGACACTCACATTTATCATGATACTTGGCTGCTCCAGCTCTAGGAATTCCTCCATTAGTTCAACTGCAGGAGCCACAAGTTCGTTCGGCTAGAAATAGTCCATCAAGAAAATTGAGATTTTGTAAAGGAGAAAACCAAAATAAAAACCACGAGTTTCCTTGCCAACTGGACACTTCCTGGACGACTATCAAGCAGTCACAAGAGTGGCTAATGCAAACTTGTGTTACCCTTTAGATTTTCCAAATCTACTGTGAAAAAATTACCGGTCTCAGTCTCCAAGGTTTTTGAATCAGCAGACGAAACGGTGATAAACCCAATAAAGTTTGAGTCAAAAAATGAGGGAAAAATTAAGAATTGATGCCTTTTTGAAATGCTGATCAAATGATTATTCACAGTTAGTTTTGATTGCAACTGCTAGTTGCGGCAGCAGTTCGCCTTGCGACAGTTTCAAAGGAATGCTGGATCCGAAAGATACTTTTGTTTTTGTTTTGTTTATATTGTTTAGAGTTTTGTTCATAACCCAGTATTTGGAGAAACTATACATGAACTTACTTGAGCCTCCTTGGTAGTGAGTAACTGAGCATTAACTGTCAGCTCAAATCCAGCGGGTTTCTGGTAATTGGCACGCTTCTGTGCATCGTCTCGAATTACGGTAGAAATCAGCTCCGACAAATCAACGGCACGTTGCATTGCACGTTTTACACACACCTCGATCTGAAACGTGGAAATGGTGCAGACCTAAATAATAATATACTTATGAATCAATTTTCTTTGAAAGGTCTCACCGTACTCGTACTTAGTATCAGATTAGTTGACTGATGAAGAGCGCAGACTTCCCGACGTTTATTACACGCAATCACAAGACACCCGTACAGACATTGTGATTCTTTATCCGTAGGATCAACGACGACAGCGTTCCTTCAAAAATGAAGCCATAAAGTGATTGGTGTGAATCTACCTTTGACAAACAAGTACTCAACATACCCATTTTTCGTGAAACCAAATGAGACACATATGGGCATGTGGTAAATGTTGAGTGGCACGAGCGCTTGTTCGTATTCGGAGTGCTGCAGTTAGATTATGAACCCAAACGTATATGAACAACCTCAAGAAACAGGGCTAAGATGAATAAAGAACAGCGGAACATACAATTAAAGTGTGATTCGGCTGGACCGTGACATTCGGACGGCGAAAATGATAGAGGGCTGCAACGGCAGCGACCGAAGCGCAATCCAGAAGACCACCGTCGTCATCGAGGATGCGCACATCAACTCTTAATTTCCAAACTTCTTTGTGTGCTCGTACACAGAGAGACTAAAAACGTATCTATTACACTCAAGTTCAACCACGGACCAAATCCAAAATGAAAACCGTTTAATAAGCATTGGAATGACTGAGGAGAGCAATAATAGACGGGTAAGAGATGATGCATGGGTAAGGTGTGGAGATCTATAGAGTATTGTTCGTATCGAAGAAGTATTTGAAAGGGTGAGGTGGGGCTAAAAAACGGGCCACATTGAATGTTCAAGACTGCACGCAAAGTGCGTAAAAGAAGAAGCGACAAATGACGAAATTAAAACGCAGGGCAGAGAAAGCAACATGAGTCGGAAAACTGGAACTTCATAATGATTTCGACAAAGCAAAAGTGAAAATTCACATGCAGTAGACTTGGACGGGAGGAAAACAACAGTGGAGACGATTCCCGTGAATGAAAAAATACCAAATTCACCAGAAGCAATTGTCTTGCTCAATATAGCCATTCCCTTTATTGATTCATAAATGCCTAAATTAATCGCCAAAGTCATGGTCACCTCAACATCAATACATCGTGAGTCTCTCAGCACCAGTTCAAGCATGCGAGTCAGTTCAAGTCCTCGTTCGCCTAGGCGATTATGTTCTTGCGCTGAAACAAAACGATATTGCTTAGAACCACTGATTAGCACGAAATATGAGTAGAAAACGGTGACAAAAAAGAAAAATGAAATTGAGCTGGTCATGAATGACAGAAAAAATAGGCGCAGGTAGATTTCGGAAACGTGGAAGCGCACTCAATGAGAAGGAACATCGCTCAAATTTAGAACCCAAACAAGTGCATCTTGATCACATGCATGTGTACGAAAAAATGAAACTGTGTTCAAAGTAAAGAAACTACTAAGAAATTATGAAAAAGAAATAAATTTTATGGGAACTTTTCGCCAATCCCGGCAGGTGCATGTTGCGGCCAAAATGGGGCCTATGTGATTTTGTGATAGCAGGATCGCATGGTTCAAGCGTATAAATATTCAACTCCACGCTCGGATTTCGAGCAACTGCAAGAATATCGAAGAGTATGACCGCGAATAAACATGCTTCAACTTTTTGTTTCCCAAGTCCCTTATTCTTACGGATCAAAGATCAAATTTTTAAATTCGGTGAATTGACTTTACCTGGGTTGCCCATCGGACTCATGTCAACATCGACCGTGATGAAACCCTTATTGGGGCGGGTGGTGCGCGGTTCCGTTAGTGAAGCACTCACAGCACACAACACTCTTGAAGCAATCTTTCACTGCGTAACATCGAAGAATATGAGAAACATCCAAAAGACAAAAATAACATTAAGATCAAATCAGAGGTGAATAAACAGCTTACTTTGTTTCTCCCATAGTGCACAATGCAGTACCACATTCTGATCCAACAACAAGTTTCACCTGGCGAAAATCGCTCAATGTACGACCATCTAGCCGCTGCAAAATTAGGAATATCAAGAATATTAATTTCTAACAGCATTCTAGAGTCCTAATAGTCATTCCGTAGGAGCACTTGTTTCCAATGAACACGGAAATCATGAGTTAAAACATACCCTTGAACTAGTTCTATTTTCATACGACTTTAAAAAAAACCACTTGCAGTGTTCAGCCATGATCTAGAATTCAAACACTAAACATGCTAATTGTTGCTAGGGAACTCCCTTAACCTCACACTAACTGCCACGCATGACAACCAGACACAACCATAAGGTCTACATCATCGGAATGACTTTTATGCATTCGTTCTCATATAAACATAAATCATAAACATCATAATCATCATGTACGAGAGGTGGTCAACAAGCTTTCAGATTCAGATTGCTTGGGTCAACAAGTTTTCAGATTCTGACTGCTTGGGTCTGGGTCTTACGCCCTGGGTTCGTGTTTAGATCAAAGAGGCAACTACTTTGGCCCGCCCGGGAATAACCTATGTTAGTTGCGTTGCCCAGACCGACCACGCTCCCCTCGTTATCAACATCTTATACGTTACGATCTTGCATCATTCCATTATGTTCATTAATATGTAGGTGGTGGTGAATTCTTCGAGGAGCTTCTCATTCACATTCATTTTAAGGGTCACCAATGCTGACAAATCCATTATTTTTTCCATTCTATTTAGTTAGTTCGCGTTCGCTAATCTAGGCGTGTGTGTTGAAAATAAGAATTTATCTAGCAGTCAACTTCTGTATTTGTACCACGCCGATTCGATTGTCTTAGGCGCACCTTGAGTGCAATAGTAAATAAATAAATAAATAAATAAATAAATAAATAAATAATAAAATAATAACTTCTAAAAGAAGACCTTAAAGATAAAAAAGAAAGGATAAAGCATTTGCCGTTGATCAATCCCTTTTGGGATGCGGCACGCATTCTACTTCCATTTGTACATTCGTAGTGGCGTTTGAATGCGATGTGGCCTATACAATGACTTGCGGGGGCCAGCCGATGTAAGTCAGTGTTTTTATCCTCCCAGACAAGTCTGGTACCAATTAACCGACCCCGGAGGGATGGAAGGCTTGGTTGGCCCGGGCGACTCACGACCCAGGATTTGATCCCGGACCGCTCGCGTGGTAAGCGTGCCACTTGTCACTACACCACTTCCGCCCAAGATATGGCTTAATAATCCACTCATTCCTTTGGAGCTATAATAAAGATCCTGCAGCAGAAAAAAAAATGTAGCAGTGGCATCCTAAAAAACACCATCATAAAAGTATAGTAAGTCAACAAACCTGGTTTTCTGCGAATCCTTCCAGTACAAACTTTAATTCGCATGTTGATAACGGATCGTTGCGCATCTGTACAAGGTCGACTTAAGGGAAGGAACAACGTTTGACGTTCCAAAACAAAAAAGCACCAGGTATAGTAATGAAGAACAATGTTTGATTGCAGCTACAGAAGACTATTAGAAAATTTATTAAGTTCAACGAAAGTGTACAATAAAACAAATAGGAAGGCATTTGGCGCAGGAAACATACGCAAAAGAAAAAACAAACGATTACGAGTATGTCGGGAAAAATCAAAATCAAGCATCGGCAGCTATATGCAGAAGATACCCTTCAAGGGAAACTTACAACAACCGGAAAGGGTTTCATATCTCAATGCTTACTTCGGCACAGGCATTTGTGCAAGTTGCGCCTGGATCTTCGTTTGCAGCGTCTCGGATATGATATTTCTCGTACGTTTCTTATCAAGAATAATTTTCTCTATCGTTTCAACCTGGAAATGCTGGTGTGCGAATTCTAGTTCTGAGATTCAGTATGCAACTCCGACTCAAAGAAAAACGGATTACTGGAAAGTAAAAGACGAAGCAGAATCATTACAACTAAATAAGCACCTGTTTTGCGATGTACTTCTTCTTACGTTCGAAAAAATCGCGAGCTTTCTCGCGGCTAACCTCTGCGAAATATCCAGTTCCCATTTCAACGAGCATACGATCTGGATCATATAGCTCGGCTCGTATGTACATCTGCAAATCCACTATATTGCCACTTGATTGTACAAGCATGCGTTTCTTTCGAATAAAGATGATTTGAATAAAAATATTTTTGCATGGTAATGGCAGAGACGTAGGTACATCTAACGTCAAGCTACTAGTTCCAGCTACTCCCTTTGGAACAAGAGCGTTACTTGGAATAATTATGCAAAGTCATGAGCCTATAAGGACATACAAGAAACGGTGCTCTTGATGGGCCAGTGGTTATCGTTAATTAAATTGTACAGAAGAAAAAAATCTGAAACTGTACCGATTCGGATAAGGGGATGAGGGCCACATGCCCGGGTTTTGCCGTATTCAACACCTCCATCGATGAAATGCTTTGCTCGTTTTTTAAGATGAGTGCCTAAATCATGACAACGAGATCAACTCCATCCCGAGATATAAATATCACAATGAACATATTTGGAAGCACATATATTTCACACCTTAAGCTGATTAGCGGATTCTTGAAAGAAGCTTAGCTCTTGGTCAACTTGCCGTTGAAGAGCACTTATTTGTTCGACCCCAAGCTCTGCTATCGGTGTACCGGAGGACTTTGCATCGCCTCCCTCACTCATGCCTATTTCAAACTGAAAGAAAACACATACAATCAACACCATATAATTACGAGAAGAATAAGGAAGAGAATTTCAAACGGTCCGTTCACGAAACAGATGCCCACACTTACAAATATGTCTTGAACCGAGATGAATCTGCAGGAGAAACTCCTGAAGATTCAAAATTTTCTAAGCTTAGGGATGCATTAAAAGATTATCGAGCATCTTAGCAATTCAAATACGATTTCGAAGAAGGAATTCACTTTCACATCACTTTCTACGAAAGAAATCGGAAATTCCTTTTCATCCATTGCGGACTCAACAACGTAGTCGACGACAACATTCGGCCGGGGCCAAGGCATCATGTCCCGAGTTGAGTGAGCGGACCCACCCCGACTTGGGGCTTGCTGCATCCAACCTCTTAAGTAGAAGTTGCGCCCCGCCACTCGTGTTTAACAGCAGATACTCACGTACTAAATTGCCGAAAGGGCCTTTCTCTTCAGATCATCAAAGAGTCTGCTTCGGCCCCGTTCATAGAGCGCGGTTAATGCGATTTAGCGATTATGCTGAAAAGATACGTATCGATCCAAAATTTGCCGATTGCACGATATTGCGATTTGACGAATCGGCGGTTGTGCTCGAAGGACAAGGGTGCACATTGATCGAACTGACACCGCCCAATAACCATTTGTCGAGGCGATATGTCGACGATCCTTCAGTCGATACGCATACATTCCTTTCAGAATAATCGCTAAACCGTCAAATCGCACCGATCGCGATCCACGAACGGGGCCTTCCGGCCCGCTCGTAGTGATCAGTTCTCCGGAGGCGCTCATGCTCACAAGTTTGCCTTATGTGCAGTGCCTTAAAGGAAGTAATCACGATAAAACCCATAGGGACGATAAGGAAAGTTACATATGGGTTGGGTAGGGGTCCTACCCAATGAGACGACAGGTGACGCTTCAGGGCAGTGGCGCCTTATCAACGGCGTGATAAGGCGCCGAAACCCACTTCCGGTTAGCAAGCTACACCTAGTATCGATGTGGAAGGGGTGCAATAAGCAGCGTGCTAGATATGATACCGTTATCGTTATCGTCCCGTTTTCATTCTGGAGTGCACCTCTTATCAAGCAGCCGCACCTTCTTATCTCATCGTATCATATCTTCCATGGGTTACACTCGTCCAACAATTATCTATCTCACACCTTATCGGTTGATAACGCGAGGGTAGCAACTCCACCTCGGAGCCAGCGTGATCGCTTCCTTCAAGACAACTCCCAAATTCTTCGGTTCAAAACAAAAGATATGTATTTTGTAGTCGAGAACACCACCAAACACATTCAGCATATACGGTAAGTGCACCGATCTACTACCGATGCCATCGACGGCAAAAAAGACGCGTTCTAACGAAAGCGAGGGACTGACAAAAAAGGCATTTTGAGAGGGCAGACAGCTAGACGAGTGGTTGCCTTATTTAACGTATGCACCGATGTCTAATATGCTAATGATCTGCGAAAACATGTACCTAAAGCTGTGCGATCATTACGATAGGATGACCGACCATGAAAGCCTCATATGAAAGTGAGCCAATAAAAATTTCTAGCACCGCACTTTCTACCCATCCCACCATGCAGGATCACAAATCTTCAAAATCACAAATCAAAAGATGGTCTTCATATTTGAAACCGGCTTCGGAGACACCACACGATGAGGTGAAACTGGCTTGCCCTTTGATCTGGCTTCAGATACCCAAACGATTTCGTGGTAGTCCATTTTGATCTACGGTCGATGGATGTCGCCGATCCCTCGTTTGGCCGCCTGAGCTCTCCGCAATGTCCGCGATCTTTCAGGTTTGCCAGTCCCTCGATTTCGACGCAACGCATTCTTTTTGGCGGTAGGCGTCGACGGCAGATCAAGGCGATTAATCGATGTCTTCAGCCAGGGGCCGGGTGCAGCAAGCCCCAACGAGGGGATGGGTCCCCTAAACTCTGCATCTCTGGACTCTTCCCCTATTCTTAACCACGAGAGTTGCGTCATCGACAGAGTAGAGACGCAGAACTTTGGGGACCCATCCCCTCGTTGGGGCTTGCTGCACCCGGCCCCAGAAGAACGGACGGGTGATTTTTGCGAAAAGGTACTAGAGTCGAGTAAAAGCTTATTAGAAATCGAAAACCGACAGTCCCCATCTTTCCTCTCATGATATGTCCGCCACAGAATCCATTTTGGAACAATTTACCTTTGCTAGAAGCCCAAAAACGCATTCGGTACAAAAAAGTCAGGTATACGATTTTTTTTCGACAAATGAACATTAAGGAAAATTGAAATACTATTGGAAGAAAAACTGATTCGAGTTCTCAAAATCTCTTCACCGCATCCACCTCTCAAGATCGCATATGAAGGGGGTTCTGGATAAAATGACTTCTTAAAAAGCTCGTAGGTTACTAGACGAGCACTTCTCGTAATTCCACCTGCTTGGAATTTCAAATCGCCGACGGGGTTATGTCCATTCAAAGGGCATCACTGCATCACCTCCCCCTCCTACAATGTGCTCGAAGGCCGGAACACTCCTGCGCCACAGCCGTGCTGCAGCCGCTCATAATCAGTACTGGCGCCATTAAATCTATTCAAACAGCCGATCGCCGCGATTTTAGACGTTGGCCGAGAAATTACCTAATAAATTTTTCTTGGCAAGCTCGTGCAGGGCCCAATAGAAGAAGGAAAAGCAACGCAACATCACACAAAAATTTACGAAGCCGTACATTGAAAATGTGGTGAGGGTTCCCGCCCTTTACCTCGAGCAAACGATGCCAAATCTGTGAAGTTGGCATGAGCAAGGTACGAGAGCAAATCCAAATTAAGTACAATTGCTCAGTAGGATTTTGACAATATCATTATCACCTACTGTGATGGGCTTCGCTTGTTTGCCTCACTGTCAGAAATTAGCCATTACGTGAATCCACTGGGCACATGGTCAACTCTCATGTTCAATCGAATTCAAATTTTTCTTTTGACACAATCCCACCGCGCTTTTGTCTATTTCTCGCGTTTTTTGAAGTGTTCGTCAAAATCGACCGGAAAGCAGTTGAAAACGACCTCGCTCTCCCACAACCGCCACCCACCCCTTCAAGTTCCGCAAGTGCCCCAAGATACACATAGGCTGTCAAAAGCCTTCTAGCAGTACTCCTCAAGAACGGAAAACAGTAAATACGATAAGGGACCGACCCTACAACGTTGTTACTGTGAGTCTCGACCACTGTCACAAGAGAATTTATAGAAAGTAATACGGAAATACCTTCAAACAAAAAAAATACAAACATAGTAAATATCTTTGAGCAAACAAATAAGGAAAAAACAAAGCTAAGAAGAAACAATAAAACTTCAGCTGTGCTTCTTCAAAATCAAGTATCAATTATACTCTCTGTGAAAACAGCATGACACTTTGAAGGAGTTGTTTTCGTTGAATCAGTACTTCGCTTGAGGTTGAGCCGATTTAATGGTGAGCCTGAAACTGAAATTCACTGGCCATAGAAAAAAAAACCAAAAAGTCAATCACGTCTTTGAAGGCTGTAATTCCGATGGTGAGTGCACACGCGGGCAGGTATACGCGCCAAAGGAAGTACTGGCCAGGCGGCAGAGGAAGCGGGGAGACGGTCAATTCAATCGTCGGCTAATGAGGTCACGCCGCTCACGCGGCGGCAGCGTCGCGCGCGGCAGTTGGTGCGGCGATTTTTGTGTGGGCCTTGGCTTAACGGTCCTTGTCCATAAGTTGCTGGTGGGGTTAGAGAACTGATAAGACCAAAGTTCCAGACATCAGTGAGCCAACAAGAGTCACCTTAAGATCTCCGCAGTTATTTAAGCCTCACTGTACAGAGCTTGTGCCATGTAAAGGTTGTCCTTTTGAACATAATTGAGACTTCTTTATTAATCAACTGCCTGAATTGTTATCAGAGAGCGATAATCTGGCTAAATCGGAAAATATTACGTTCCAAGACGCAGTGGAACGGTGAGGAAGGCATAACATCAGTATGACAGAATAAGTTTGTAAATAATGGCAAAGGACAAGGATCCTGTATTTTAAGGGGGCAGGTGATCATATACCGTGTTTCACGACTGGAACTTCATCTAATCCTACATTCCCCAATGCTAGAACCCTGAATTCTAACCACGGCCGACGTCGCATCGCGGGCTGCGGCGGCTGGCGCGGCGACCTAGCCTATCGCCACGATTGAATAGTCACGCACCCGTATATTTGGGTATAGTAATCCCTTTTTGGAATATGCTGTGAAGCTAACTACAAGGCAAAGCAGTCAGACAATTAGAATACAACAGGATGTGAAACCAACATTTCGTTGACATACCCTTTCTTCGCAGCCCATAGGCGAGCATCACCGTCTTTCGAAATGCAGTGGACATTGAAATATGGATGATTGCACTCAACGTCTTCCTGAGCTTGCCTCGAGTGATTACCTGGTCACAAAGATCAAATTTAGATTTTGAATTATTTAATGGTCAACGAATATAATGTTTGTATGTAGAATTGCCACCAGATGCTCATGATGAGCAAACAGTTTTTAACTCCCCCCCCCACACCACTTTTCTGGCCGCTAAATGAGCATATAGCCAGGCCAAATAGTCTTTTCAATCTAAAACCCAAAGGCAACGTGCCATTCGCTCCAACTGCTAATCGCATGAGGCATTTGTAGTGTTGTGAGGGTATTCTGCATATGGACGCTAGAGGTGCAACAAGTGGAAAACTGAATTGCTAACGCATTCAGCTACAGCCTAGAAAATTAAAAGATGGCCCCCGCAGAGGTGATTACCTTTTTCCGGGCAGATTCCCTGGACCCCAGAATGAGAAATGGGTCTGTCAAGGTTCAGTTCAATAAAAGAAGCCAGTTATAGGAGACGATAAACATGTTTCACAAGCATACAGAGAGAAAGGAAAAACTTAAAGGTAGCACAGGCTCTAAGCATGGCAATGATCATAATAGTCGAGAACAAATACTACTGAGCAATCAACGAACACAAAATCAGAACTACTACGACTGATTTATTGGACCAAAAAGAAGTTTGGCGCAATCGAGTAGTGAGGAAATCAGAAATGGACTCTGGATACAGGTATGACCTCGTAGACAGACAGCTGACAATTTTCAACGGCACCACCGTGCGCGCAAGCGCGCAGTCGTTTCACTTCCCATGCACACACCCGCTATTTCACAAATAATATTTCAGTACGGCTCAAGGCGGGGTGGTTGAAATGTGATTTTGGTTGCAGACCTACCTGAAGCTTCACGTCCTTCAAATTCGAGGTCGTTGACGGGAAAAGCTGTTTGCGAAACAGGTGCAGGCTTAAAAATAAGCTTAATTGTTTTTTTTTTCGTATTAACGCACTTACATCAACATTATCCGCTAGCGGGCCATACACTGCGCGCCGCATGATACAACGCAATCCGCTCACAGGTCGCACCCATCGCAACGTTTCTCACGCATGCACAATTTTCTCCCAAGTTTTTTTTGCGAGATCAAATATGCAATATCTACTTAGCAACGGTTTTCCAAACGATTTCTGGCGGTTTCTTCCTTTTTTTATTTTAAATCTCTGAACATGACGAATGTATAACATAGGTAAAAGTATTAGGATTGAAAGATTACCTCGGAATTTTGAGCGTTGTTACTAT